GAGGTATAACACTGCCGGTTCTGGCAACAGGGCGGTAGACGGTCGGAGACATAACAGGAACACTAGAGTCGCTTATATCAGATCCTGATGGACTCCCGGGGTTCATGTATAGCCCGTTGACGGCGGCGCCGGCGCTGACCGATTTCTTCATAGGTTGGCTGTTTGGATCCGCTTCAAAACCCTCATTCATCATCGACGAACACTTCCGCTTCAGCGTCGAATTCCAGTGATTCTTAACGGCGTTATCCGTCCGGCCAGAGAGAAGCCGAGCAATGGTAGCCCATCTATTGCCGAAGTTAGCATGAGCTCTGATAATGGTCTCGTCCTCCTCCGGCGAGAAGGGGCGGTGCTCCACCTGAGGAGAGAGCTGATTGCACCAGCGAAGGCGGCAGGACTTACCGGAACGGCCGGGAATGGATTTGCTGATGAGGGACCAGTTGCGTGGACCGTGCTTCTGAACCAGTCCACGAAGGGCGTCGTCTTCCTCAGGACTCCACGGACCCTTGATCCGATCCATCTCTTAACTGGTAACCGCCACGAACGATTAGCAATAGAATGATTCAAAAAAACATGAAGATTGAGATACCGCGGTTTCGATGGGTGTGTAGGAGGTCAGGTCTGTTTGTTCGGCTCGCTTCCTCTATTTCTTGTTGTGTAGGGTTACTGGAGCAGGAGACGGCTAGGAGGTGGGGTTCTTATAAAAGAGATGAAACGGGCAACCGAGTAAGCCGGTAGCCTCATTTTGAAGCAAATAAGAAACGTTCCGGTAAGTGCCACTACGGTTGCGATACAGCTGGCAATGAACACGCGTCGCGTTTTAACCTGCATTCAATTTTATAACAAAATCTCTCGCTTTTTAATTTTGCTTTTCTTTTATTTTTGTTTTTTCAGTTTCTTTCTGGAAAAACAAAAAAATGAAAATTGAAAAGGATAACGCTCGTCAATGGCGCGTGCGCGATACCGCGGCAAACACCTTGTGCTGCAACTCTTTCCGTGCCTCCGCCTTCAATAATTAACACCAATCCACCTTCAAATCCTCGCCGTCCACTTTTCATTTTTCAATTCCACGTGTGCGTAATCCCACTTGCCACGTCTATAATCGTTCCACCTTCATTTTGATCACCGGCCACAACAGTTTTGTTTTGTTTTGTTTTTTGTTTTTTGTTTTTTAAATTATATAACAAATTAATTACGATTTTTTTTAATTAATAAATTCATTTAACGCATAATTGAGGCCAAAAAGTAGTTTTTAAAAACATTGCCATTTTCACTCATTAATTACATACATGGTTTAATTACTGTAATTAACCCTTCATTTATGATTGGATTTTATATTTCAACTTTGTATTTTAGTCCTTTGATAAATCTTAATTAATATCTGAATATATGATTTGGTCAATTAATGAATAAAAAAGAATGTAAAAATATCTACCCATTTAATAAAGTTATTTTTTAAAAAATAGAAAAATGAAAGCCACATAATATTTGGATGGACTAAAAACAATGATTAAAAATTGGCTTGGTCCAAAGTAAGGAGTAGTCGCTCTCCCACTTTGATACTGAACTCCCATACCCATTGCATCATTTGGCTATTTCAACTATTATTCATTTAAATTAATTTCCTAAAGTTTTAAATTAATTAAACATTGTGACATAGTTATTAGTATTTATAAACTAATATTATTTTAAGTATAGAAAGGGTAATAGAATAAGAGAAGCTTGAGAGCGAAGATAAATGGGAGAGAGGTAAAAAAGAAACGTCTCTGACTCCCCCACTTTGACTCCTTTCGCCACCCTGTCTACCATTTTTAAGATTTTTTTATTTCTGTGGAAGCTTAAAAATTAAAAGAAAAAAGAGAAAGAGAAAGATATGATGATGTGGCACAAAACGACAATTAGGGACGCCGAATCGGGGAGCGAATAATTATTATTGCTGCATTTGTGTCAGTACAGCCTGTAAACCTTGGCAATATCATCACCTCCACCACTCTCCGGCGGCCACGTACTTAACTAACTTTCCCAACTTTTTTTTATCCCACCGACACCCGCCGGTGATGCTCCTATCGCCTTTACCTTTTACTTCTCTCTCTATGCTATTTTTTTTTTTCCTTTTTTAAAAACACTTTCAACTCGGTGCTAAATTTTAATATGTAATATTTAGCTTTTTTTCACACCTTTCATTGAATTTCACTCACTTTTTTACTACTTGTTTTGGTGTTTGTGATGTAGGAAATTAACAAAAGAAATTGATATTTTTTTTTAAAAAAAATATTAGGGTTAATCAATGAAGAAAATGACAGAACAATTATAGAAGTAAATGAGAGAAGAAAGAAGGGGAAAATGTGTCCACAAGTAGCCTCATATTATTAAAATATCTCTATACCATATATATTATTTGATTTTGCACATATCTTTGACTATAGCTCCATTTTTAGTTAAGATTTTGTGCCCATTGCTACCAACTAAAAATTTATATAAAGAGTTTATTTAAATTTGAATGATTATTATAATTTATAGAGTAAACATTAAAAAATATAAAAAGGACCAGTAACGGTAAGGTATGGAGGCAAGAAAGAAATGCGGAGAATGAAATAATTGGGGTTGTAAGGGTAATAAGGGGCAATACAGCTGGAAAACCTCCTAACTACTCATCCCCCACTTCCTCTTTACCATTTTATTTATTTATTTATTTATTTATTTATCTATTTATATTGTTATTGTTTCCTAACAACTCTCTCACGTGCTCTCCTCAACCGTACAGCGTACCCACGTGCGGCTTTGCGCCCTCTGAAGGCGGCACACCAACACACTTGCCATTTTCCTTTAGTCGTTTTGCCTTTGCCCACGAGGACATTAAAGTAATTCCTACCACCAGGGATCTGCTTGCCGTTTGGCACCGGAAAATCTTTGTATTCTAATATTATATATATATATATTTCTTTTTGTAATCAAATATAATAAACACTGTAATTATCTCCCCGGATCTTAAGCACCCCATCAACCACCACCATCATATCCTATTTTATTTATTTATTTATTTATCCTAAATCCAAACAACAAAATCATTGTCCATTAATTGGAATTACGGAAAAAGACACTACATTACAATTTAAATAATCAGGCTTCTTAAATTTAAGATTAAGTCATTTTGATACGTTTAAAATTTGGAATATTTGGTGGGTAAGATAAGAGACTATATTTGAAAAAAGAAAAAAAAAAAAAAAAAAAAAGGAGAGACAGAAAAAGGAATGGCACGTGGGAAGGGAACGGTCGAGGAGGCTTCTTTGCACATGTACGGAGTCGGTATGGGCAAGCAAAACCGTTTGACCTTTTTTCTTTTTTAAAAAACAAAATGTATTTAATTTTGAAGAGGGTGGTGGGACCATTTATTCCACGGCTTCCAATAATATGACGTCAAAATTCTGTGTGGACCACCGATATAGCAGCTACAGGCTAGCACGTTTATTTTATTTTTACCTGCCCTTTCTGAAATTAATAAATTAATTCGAAACACTAACTTTCCGACCAAATTGAGTCCCTTATCCTGTGCGTTCCGTTGGAGGTTTCGCAGATATTTCCCTCTCAGACCCTCGCTAAATTCATGATTCATATTTTTTCCCCTTTTTCTAAATTATTCTATCACGTCACGTTTACCATTTACAGTGGATTAAATAATTTATTCTTGTGAAACTAACATTTACATGCTTTAAAAAAAAAAAAAAAAAAACAGAAAAGGAAAAAGTTTTGAAGTATATACCACCAAATTCTGCAAATATGAAAGTATTTAATTATTTAGAAAAGTTAAGATCATAGCATGATAAATTGTATGATAAGCTATTATCGTAGCAGTGGACACGTGTGAAACGAGGATTCCTTCCTATCTACCCTGCCTTATAACGGACAAAATTCACAGTTGTATTTCTAAAAGCTGCGCGACACGCGTCGGATACAAAAACCACCACGTCTTCCATCACTGGATTGCTCAACCTCAGACAGAGGCGTTCCATAGCGTAGTCACGTCGGATTTTTCCATTTATCCTCCACGTTGTCACATTTCTAAGCATTGAAATTTAGAATTTCGAAAAAAATAATAATAATAAATTGCATGTAAAAATATGGTGACAGCACAACTCTTTGTAGTCTAACCGGTAGGAGGTATTTCCCAGGAAGGTATCTTTTAATAAAGGATAAGATAAACTTTCAAATGTGTGCCACTAAAATAAAACTTCTAAAATTAAATATAAATTAATTCATACAAACATTAGTAAATCTTGAATTCGTTTTTCTATGTTTACACTAATTTTTTTAAATTATAGTTTAAAATAAATAATCAAAGAAGGAATTATGTGTATAAAATAATATTATATGTTAATAATTGATCACTTTTTTAAGGATAATAATTGGTCACCATACATTTTGTTAACATTCTTTTAAAACTTGCTCATTATATATATATATATATTCACAAATTGGAATGTAAAAAAGAGAACAATTTTTTAAAGATAATTGCAATAGAAGTAAAAAAATGAGTTGAATGCATTTATATATATAATGAAAAGAGTGAAAGAGATAAGATTGGGAAGGCCACGTCATGTGATTCGCTAGCTGTAACGCATTCAGCTTTGGTGATTAAATGATATGTGATTGGGTAAAGAGGGTAGGAGTAGGAGGAGCCATAATGGACCTATTTATTAGTCTTCATTCACACAATTCTATATGTTTTTGCACAAATCTCTATACATTTATTTATTTTTCATTAAATTCATTTTGTATTTAATAGTAAGTATTTTAAAATTTCTTTTATTTTACTGGTGTCTCTTAATTTAAAAAATAAAATTATAACCACGAGCAGGATTGTGTGAATGCTTTATTGAATATTAAAAAGAGTCTGGCTTCTTTTGGGCCGAAGTCTGGCCCATGTTCTTCATCCTTCTGTGAATGAGTGGACCACACGTCGGCCCAAGAAGAGAATTGGGTATCAGTACAAATGGCGGTGGCTGTCTCCATTTCCAGGTCTTCCACCGCCACTTCGTTTTCGGATTTCCAGTTTTGTATTACGGTTTTTATGGGACTCTGATTTTGAATGTAAATGGGGTTGATGTTGATGGGCAGGGGAGGTGTATTTGTACGGAACGTCGGCGGTGGTGCGAGTGCCGGAGGATCTAGAGGAGATTGCGGCTACTCCAGAATCGATAAGCGTTGTAACGAGAGTTTCCAAGACTGTGTCGAGCCGAATAGAGGACAAGAGGCGGAATTGAAGGCGGAGTAATCTTGCTGTGTACGGACGACGATTTGCCGGCGATCAAATTTCATTACATTTCTAGTTTATATCCTTCCAAATGGTATAATTTTCTTTTCAAAACCCATATTTTAATAATTTTGAAAAAACCACGATTTATGTGAAATAAATAATAATAATTTAATTTGCATAAAAATTTCTCAAGTACAAAATACATCTTAATGGGCTGGCCCAAAAAAGTTACTGTTTTCCGGTGTAGTAGGGGGCCCAATAGGCCCATGTATAGGTGGGGCGACACCGCTCCTGACGGCGTGACGTTTCATTTTGAATTATTAGAAATCCCGCTCCTCCTCCTTTTTTAAATTCCCCTCCACAGGGAGCCGTTGGCAACTGACCCAATTCCATTGTCTTCGCGCCTGCAACTCCAGAGAGAAATAGCTTCACAGCCGGTGACAAAGCCCGACGAGTTTTTGTGGGAGAGATTCAGAGCCCTAAGAAATGGCGACAAACATTGGGATGATGGATTCTGCGTATTTCGTTGGAAGATCGGAGATCCTCGCGTGGATCAACTCTACTCTCCACCTTAATCTTTCCAAAGTCGAGGAGGTTCTCCCGAAACCCCTATTGCGTTACTTCTTTTGTTCGTATTTGTTCTGAGCTTTTTTTTGGAAATTCTGTTTATTTGACCCTTATTATGGATTCTTGAATTGTAGGCATGCTCTGGTGCGGTTCATTGCCAATTGATGGATGCGGCTCACCCAGGGATGGTGCCGATGCACAAGGTCAATTTTGATGCGAAAAGCGAGTACGAAATGATCCAGAATTATAAGGTCCTCCAAGATGTGTTCAACAAATTGAAGATCACCAAGGTATCCTTTTTAATAACCCCCTTTGGTATTATCTATTATTCGTACAACTTCACAGATTAATTCTGTTTCTGTAAGAAATATTCCAACTTATTATGATTTTGGATTGGGTTCTTTATATCTGCTCTGTACTTGATCTGCACTTAGTTACTGTCTTCCTTGCAATGTTGTAGCATATCGAGGTGAGCAAGCTTGTGAAAGGAAGGCCCCTTGATAATCTGGAGTTCATGCAGTGGATGAAACGTTATTGTGATTCCGCTAATGGAGGCGTTTTGCAGTGGTAATCTGGTCTATTACCTGCTACAATTTTCAATTAACCAATATTGAGTTTTTGTTTATAAGGGTTGCGGTAACCATGCTACTTTTAACTCATAATTACTTAATCTGACCCCTTTTGGACCTAACATGCAAATATTTGATGATTTGAACTATAAGTAAATTCACAATGGTAAACTTCAATGTTTGAAAAGTGATGATCATAAAGAAGTTAGAAGTCTGTTAATATTAGATTGTCAAATTACACTACAACAGTTCATATGTTTATGGTTCAATTTTGTTTTCTTTTTAGTTATAATGCTTTGGAAAGGCGAGAAGCATCCAAGGGCGGAAAGGACGCAAGCAAGAAGAGCACCACATCACATTCTTCTGCAAAAGGTTCAACAGCTGCTGCATCCAGGGCTCAGGTCTCTCAGAATGCTCGGAGAAATGAGGCATCAATGAACTCTGGAAATCAGGTAGCAAATGTTTCAAAACCTCCATCCAATGGAGTATCTGCATATGATGAACAGGTATCTTCTGAAGCTGCGTCTACTTTGATAATATGGACGAAAAGAAACTGGAGAGTACATATATACTTACTAATGTAAAATGCAGATCACGACGTTGAAACTGTCGATCGACAGCCTTGAGAAAGAGAGGGATTTCTACTTTTCTAAGCTAAGAGATATTGAGATACTCTGCCAGAGTCCACAGATTGAAAGTTTGCCCGTACTTGTTTCTGAAATTCTCTGTTTTGTATCTGCATTTTCTTCGGTCTATTAGAATTTCAAGCCCATGAAGTTGAGCATTTTGATTTCGTTTCTTTTCAGGCTGTAGGAGCTATAAGGAAGATACTGTATGCTGTTGATGATGATGCATCAGTGGTGGCAGAAGCTCAAGCGATGTTGTCCGTTCACCAGAAGGAAACGATAGATCTTTTGAGTCCAATAGCTGAAGTTTCTGATGAGAAGCTAAGTTTAGAATCCCAGAAGAGAAAAAGTGTAATCAATTTTGATGTAGACGTTGTTGGCATGACAACTTTGTCTCCCAGGCGGAGGGTATCTGATGCTTCTGATGTTCATTGCAGTGGGTCACCCCTTATGACATACTGATCAAGGCATTCTTTTGTAACCGTGCAATTCCTCAACTACTATAGAGTATAGTATAGTTGTGATTCTAGAGTTGTTCTTATGTGTCGTCCTGTTTGTTCAGAACGTTTTCATGTGGCTGTTTTTAATGAAGAATTGCTGAAAGACCCTGAAATGAAACAACCCAACTCTATGGGGTTTGCTCCTTTTCCTCTTCCCGCTAGCTAACGCTAACCCAAGAATTCGTCCAAGTAGTTCATATCAATTAGATTTAAGTTTTTAAATGTTTCAAAACCCCATTTTAATAAATATTCCACGGTTTGAATTGGTACAATTTGACATAAATATTTTTTATAATTCCCTTTTTTATTATTAAAAAAATTCCCTTTTATTTTCTTTTTAATAGATTTGAAAAATAAGAAACATGCAAATATATTTCAAAGTTTGTTTTTTTTTTTTTTTAAATTTAAATTTTAAAGTTTTGATTTTGTAGTTCTTTTTTATTAATTTAGCCTAAAAATAAAAAATAAAAACAAAAACATAATTATTTTAGGTTTACGTTTACCCAACCCGAAAACCCGACCCGAATGCCGGTCGCTTCTTCATTATCAACAGCTCCCTCGAAGACTTAGGCAGACTCCGCGGCGGGAACGCACCCACACTTTTCGCAGTTGCAGTCATACTTCGAATTCCGGAGCGTTTCCGATGGAGGACAAGATCGCTACAGCAGAGAAGAAGGTGCTCACTTTGTTCTTCAACCTGCCTTTACCATTTATGTGCTGTTACTTAATTTCTCCGCTGGGTGTGTATGCCTAGTATTTTGTGGAAGGCTGGAGGCGGCTTAAATCTGTATAAAAAGCTCTTCCCTTTTTTTTTTTCTTCTTTGTAGGTGCTTGTCGAGATGGTGCGTTTGACCCAAAAACGAGGAATGAGAGGTAGTGAAGGAGACTGGAAGGAGTTTCTTATCAGTCGTGACCCTAAGTTCGGGGCTAGCATGTGCGACCCGTCTAAGAGGCCCAATGATTTGTTGATTGCTTTTCTCAAGACATTTAGCAAAGAGGATGATTTGATGGTAACGAATCATTCTCTGTCTATCACAAACACTATGGGAAGTTTGTGTTATCTGCTTTCTCAACTCTTGTTATTTTCCAAACTAAGACTGACATAAATCACGTGTATGTTTTTGTTATCAGTTCTTGGATAAAATTCTCCAGTGTAACGAGAAGCGCAATGTTGTGAAGCAAGTATCGCAGAAAACTTCCGACAATGAATCACCCGAGCAGGTGGGGTTCTTTTTGCTGGAGGATCAATACCCACAGCGACGAATTTTTCTATCTTAGTTACTTATATTTGCTCATTTCAATATTTGTCTGAAAGTATTCAACATGTTTTCTATTGCACCACTTCCTTTGAATGTTCGTCTTATTAGCTATTTTTCCTTTCGTTATCATGCTACCTTTCCAATGCGCAAAACTTGTGACAGGTGATCTTGAGCTTGAGCTCTTTCAAGCGTATAAATGAAACCTTAATCTGTTTGTCTCGAATTATTGACATGCTCATTCATAGCATTTGGTCTAATTGTTCCAGTAATCATTATGCAAATCCATCGTTTACTAGTACTGTCAACTTATCCTAGTTTTTTATCGACTCTCCTTGTATTATTTTTATTTTATTTCCATTTGTTTGTAAGTTGTTCATTCTCTTGTAAATTTTCTTAACCCATCATTATGACTGTGCAGAGGCTGGTTCGGCTTACACTCGAACACCCACAGTATCCATTAGAATATTCATTCCCATCATATGAGAAGGTAGGATGTCAACTTCTGTTTTGTGCGCAATCTTTTACCTGTTTTGTTAATGGACTAATAAACTTTCCATTTTAATATATAATGTTTTCTATAGTTACCAAGTTATTGTGTATCTTTCTTGAATTGTGTTGATTTGTGGGTCTGATTTTGAAGGGATGGATTGTTACAAAATTCAGTCAAAAGTCTAAAGCACTGAAATCAAATGCAATATATGCCATTGATTGTGAGATGGTTCTCTGCGAAGATGGAACTGAGAACTTGGTGAGGGTTTGCATGGTGGATCGCGACTTACAAGTATGCTCTTGACCTTTATGTCTTCTTGTAGGCTCTATGCACACCTCCGTTTATACACACACACATAATGAAAAACAATGGTACTATATGTTTGCTATTATATTATATTTATGATCTCATTAGATTTTCTCAAACCTTTTATGATGAGTGTAGAGATCTCTCTGCAGGTGAAAATTGATGAACTTGTAAATCCTAGAAAAGCAATTAAGGACTACAGAACTGATATAACTGGAATTTCTCCGGGGGATTTGGATGGAATTACTTGTTCTTTGGTTGATGTTCAGGTATTTGAGTTTGTTTCGTATGAGGATGGTTCACTCTTGCTTGAACATGTATGATCTAATATTCTTTGTTCAAATTGTAGAGATCCATTACCAAATTATTGTCACATGGAACTATTTTGGCAGGCCACAGTCTGAACAATGACCTGCAAGGTAATCTAAGAATGATGATCAGTATTTGTTTTCCTTATATCCACCTCGTTTGATTAAATTTGTAATATCTTACTCAACTCAAACGAGGTTGCTATTGCAAAAAATTGGACCTTAAATTATACTATACTAATGACTAGCCGCCTGTTTTTTTTAACGGATACTATCTTAAGATTTTCATGTCCTCATACCTTTAATGTTTATTGACAGTAAAAACTGAATTAAAACTAGTCATGTATGGGACCTTCGAATGCACAAGCATATGGATTCCCATGTTGAGTATCCAAATTCCTTGCAAACAAATGGCCTCTTGAAAATTGTGTGTATTGCTTACCCTGACATTTGTTTATTCTCTGTCCTTTGTTCTTTTATTGCTACAGCACTTAAATTAGATCACACGAGGGTGATTGACACTTCATTTATCTTCAAGTATTCCAATGGATCTATCTACAGAAGACCTTCTTTGAATAAGCTGTGTAAGGCACGTGTAAAATACATGTTTTTCATAGTTCATGTTATTGAGTATTTTTATTTCTGCAAGGGCATTTATTTGCCTAATTGAGAGCATTCGTCTCTTATAGACATACTTTTTTTTTTTTTTTTTTTACTTTGGCAGTCTGTCTTGGGCTATGACCTTCGGGAGGAGGGTGCTTCACATAATTGTCTGGATGATGCTCGTGCTGCCATGAAACTTGTGCTCGCAAAACTAGAGAGTAAAGCTGATGATGTGATTGCTATAGTTGATGAGGATGTAAGAATAGGGATTTTCCAACCCAATCACAGTAGAGCTTATGTTTGTGCTCATATATTAATATTAGTTTTTCTTTATATACTGCAGACACCTCAAATTGGTATGGAGAAGTTATTTCTTCATCGAATACCGATTAATGTACCAAGTGAAGCATTAGCTGGAGTTATTCCTGGTGACTTCACCATTGAACTCAAGGTTGAGTATGCTACATTCAATTCATATGGATCCATAGATATACATTACTATTAAATTTTTGTGATAATCTCCATGCCATATACATAGTCAATAGTTTTGATATACGATGATTTCCACGAAAAGATCATGCACACAGTTCAGTACTGTAGGTTTAGGATCCAATACACTTTTGATGTAGCTTATTGAATGGGTCCTTTATGGATTAAGAAAGCTGGGCGGCTGGGGTGGGGTTGTGGTGCGAAACTATAAGTTGAGTGGCCAGGCAAGTTAGCACTTAGCTGAGCAGTTTAACTAGTCAACCAAATATCTATTGTTTAAACAAGATAATCCATTGTGCAGTGTCAATATTCTTCTCCACCTACCACCTTTTATCAATGAATTTTATGTTTTGACGATTGATTTTCCAACAGCCACCTAAGAAAGGTCAAGGGGGGGATATATACTCTGCATTTGCCATTTTTAAGAACCCCAAGGAGGCACGACAAGCATTCGAACAGATTGAAGGTAACCCAAATGAGGTAATTGTGAACGATCAAATCTCTATTTTTACGTGACATGATTTATTTTCTTCATTTGTTATGCTTTCCTTGTTCCCTTATAATACTGACAGTCTGACACTCTCAATACTATGCCAAATCCTCACCAAATTAGTTCATCATATTCCAAACTGGGAAATGGGGAAGAATTTGAGCACAATTGCCTGGTTGGTTTTACTGATTAAATTATCCACTCCTGCCATACAATCAGGACTCATCTGGGCGTCCACAAAAGCTTGTCAGGTTTCAACGTTCAGGGTCCATTGTTAGTATCTTTGTTCGCACAATGGGAGCAAATGATTTTGCTGAAAAAGTATCATCGAGAAAGAGAGACCTAGAGGTGATTGAAAACCTAGTAATGTCCAAAAAACAGAAGACTGACCAGAAAATTGAAATGGAGACAATTTCAAAGTCGAGTAGATGTTGCAACCATGTGGAGGAGGTTGAAAGGTTGAAGCAAGAATTGAAACAAAAGGAGGACTCGAGTCACTGTTGTGATCACTTGAAAGAGGTTGAGAGCCTGAAGGAAGACTTGAGAAGGAAGGATTATGAACTTAATATCCTGCGTAAAGCTATCACCGTGGGGAAGAAGGAAAACAGGAAGAGAGAAGGAAAGAAGTAAATTTTGCTCTGGATCAACTCTATCTTCTTCTGATTATTTGTTTACTTGGAAGGCATTGGGGAAGTTATGCAAAGACTCGGATTCAGGGTTGTAGATTATTTTGTCTCGGTTGTCTTTAATTTTGTTGAGGCAGAGTCTATCTCAGATGAAATGCATCAGAGAAGGATATAATCCAGTGTCATATTATATGTGTGACATATCAACCTCGGGTCACGTAGAGAGTGGGTTATATCGAATCTAGAATGTTACCTATTCTAAATGCATGACACCTCATCCATAATACATTCCTCCCGAACTAGCATTGTTGATGAATCCTGCTTAATTTACTCTTTCAAACCAACTACTAATTTAAATAATTGATGCTACATCATTCAACTGACGTATAGTATATATACTCTTAACCAAAAAGTCTATGCTTCAATGAAATCTACGATAAAAGCAGAGCTTACACGAGCCCAAGCATCTGTTAGTATAATAATAATAATGATGATAAAAAAAAAAAAACAAATCTATTTTAATCTATTTCACAATGAACAAT